AAGTCTGGAGCTCTACAAGCCCGGAACTCCCTGAAGGTGAGTGTGCGCGACCCCATCATGGCCGCCACCTCAGCACGGAATGTGCTCAACCTCTCGTCCATCAGCTCTAAAATACCCTCCTTGATCGAACCGAAGATCACAGGAGTCTGCTCAAGTATGGTGCGAGTAACCTCTGAAGAGAGGAACTCCCTGGTCTGCTCATCTAGATGCTCGGCCCCCGAGCCTGATCCTGATCCCTCGCCGGCTCCTGAACTGCCGACTGCTCGCCTAGGGCGTAAAACCACCATTCTGAAAACACATCATGACAAACGTCAGAAACACTGATATATCTCGAGGGATCGCTACTACTACAAGTTTCATGGTCTCATCTCAGCCTTCCTCGATTCAAGTAAGGATCCTCTGCTTTCAGTAGTACGGGCCCATACTACCTTCCACATCTATCCGTACTTTCCTCAAGAACTGCCTTGACTCCACCAAGTCACTTCTACTGCTACTGATCTCTGCTACTCTCATCCTAGGCTTGCCCTAGGGAAATCTCTGACTCCACCCAACCCAGTCCTCAACTGCTGAAGGCCTCCTTGTAATGCCAATTAGCCATCACCCGAATACCATCACATGTGACGAGGCTTAGATAATCCTTCGAGTAGAAGACTCGTCCCTACAACGGTTAGACTCAAACAAGAGCTGCGCAATAGGGCCAAATCCGGCACTCTGAGATTATTCAACCCTGATCACAAGTGACGTGACGTATTCACCTAATGACTAACTCCCATCACTCAGAGTCCCACAAAGCACAAAGCAAGCAGCATTCAGACACAGGAAACTACTCAAGCAATCCTATCCTCATAACAAGAAACTGTACTAGCATACAATGCTAAGCTCATACTATTAGGCATAACCTAAACAGGCTATCCTACTACTGTCTACTCAATACTAGCATGCAAATTTCATATAGCTGAAACACATATAACAGGTACATAAGGCATCCTCCTAGATCCTTACTCCTATTCTAGCATGCTGTTCTACTGAAACTGAAACTGATAATCATAGCATAAACTTGTATGGGTAATTTGGGGAGTACTTACTTGAGCTCGGCTGATCGCATGCACCACACCCTTTTTCTCTTTTTCAAAAACTCTTTTCTTTTTAAGTTTTCTTTTTCAAAAATTCCTTTGAAAACATTTTTCTTTTGAAAATCTTTTTACCATTTCCTTAGTTTGAGTCCAGTCACATCCGAGAGTGTGCCTGAATCCCTCAAACCAAGGCTCTGATACCAACTTGTAACGCTCCGAAAATACCACCCAAAAATTTTTGTTTAAAAACTTTACTAAACCATAATATCAAATATTAAAAGATAAATCCATGAATCATGTATCTCAAAATGTCATAATAAATTTATCAAATCGAAACTAGTGTCAAGATCATATCAAATATCAGAGTCTAACTCCCAGGCTAAAACTGTGGTGTGTGTCATGCCATCATCCCGAGCCCTTCCCTTTGCTAGCTGAAGTACCTGAAACCAAAACTGAAACTGTAAGCACGAAGCTTAGTGAGCTCCCCCAAACTACCACATACCATACAATAACATATAAAGCACATACTGGGCCTTGCCAACTGCATCGAATCGAAATCCAGAAACTGCATCGGACCGAAGTCCGGAAACTGCATCGGACCGAAGTCCGGAAACTGACCACGGCCTTGCCCTCTGCATCGGACAGAATTCCGGAAACTGCATCGGACCGAAGTCTAGAAACTCACCAGGGCCATGCCCTCTGCATCGGACCGAAGTCCGAAAACTGCATCGGACCAAAGTCCGGAATCTACCCAGGGCCTTGCCCTCTGCATCGGACCGAAGTCCGGAAACTGACTGAACATGACATAGCATAATCATAACTACTAGCATAAACACATATACTGCATACTGCATCAGACCGAAGTCCGGAACACATAACACAAAAACATGCTTGAATCACAAAGACATCAAGCACAACTAACTACTGCATCGGACCGAAGTCCGACTACTACTGCTGACTAAACGGTCCGGCATTGTGGCCGTAGACCCATTCCTACTGGAAGGAAAACTCACCTCGTAACGCTGGCTGCTGAGGTGCTAAATCTGAGACTGTCTGACTGCTGCTCCGGAACTCCCCGCCTACAAATCCCATAAACACTAAATCAAATACTGATAACTAATCTCAGGGTAAAATTACTATTTTACCCCTGGTCAAAGTCAACTTCCTGGTTAAAGTCAACTTTCAATTGACCGGACTCGCCGAGTTGGCCCGCCAACTCGCCGAGTCCTTATCATTCTTTCTAATCCTCTACCCGCTTCTACTCGTCGAGTTTGGCAAAGACTCGACGAGTTCTTCTTCGATACTAACATCGAGTCTAACTTCATCCGACTCGCCGAGTTGTATGAACAACTCGTCGAGTTCTCATTCATCATAAGAACACGTCCTGACTGTGACTCGCCGAGTTGTATGAACAACTCGTCAAGTCTGTTCTTGAGGCAAGAAGATTGCATTGGACTCGCCGAGTCACGGCGTGGACTCGCCGAGTCCCCTGCATGTCATTACTATACAGTCGATTCTAGTCGATTTCAGTGCATCCAATTCATAGATCTGGACTTCTAGGGCTGGTTTTGCACGTAAAGTTTCCAACTTTACGTGCATGCACACGAGAATTGGACTAAAACACCAAAATCATCCAACACTAAGCACTTAGGGTTTGGAACAAGGCTATATTTGCATAAAGGTAGCTACTTTGAGCTCCTGGAGCTCAATGATGTCCAGATCTATAGTTCACTACCCTAAGGAGGCTCCAATCTCGAGTTTGAACCTTGAAATGTCCCAAAAGTGGCAAAACAAGCATATATGAAGATCTACTAGGAAAATGAACAAGGTAGAGACTTTATTACTAGATGTAGTAGCAAATGGAAGCTAGCTTCTGGATCTCCTTCTTCTCCTTTGCACCTTCTCTCTTTCCTTCTCTTCTACACTTCCAAGAATACACCAAAACACTCAAAAATCAAGAAGGAATCACTCAAACTCACCTATGGAGGCTAGGGTTTTGAGGGGGAACGCTCTAGGGGTGCTGGAGGCTGGGATGAGGGCTATAAGGACGTTTAAATAGGGTACAAACCCTAAGGATTAGGGTTTCATCCAGACTGGCCTACTCGTCGAGTCCAGGAGCAGACTCGCCAAGTAGATCACTTAAAACCCACGTCCAAACCTGGCATCTACTCGACGAGTTAGGACTACTACTCGTCGAGTAGCTCTTTATAAAAGACTTTTAATAAATTAATACGTACCAGGAACGGGCCGTTACACTATCGTTGGTTATAAAGAATTCCATCTGCCAAATATTCCCATGTGTTTTCCCAAACAACCTCCGGTTTAGACATACTATTACACTCAACAGTGTAGCAAATAAGAATCATAGGAAAACCAGATCCAGAATGACTCGCTTTTGATTGCATCGATGTATTCCTTTCATCATCCAAGAGACCAAAGCATAACAAGCATCTCTAAAAGAGAATATTCTTCACCATTGACTGTGCGAATGTCTTCAAATGATTGGGCCTTTCACCTTATTTAAAAATATCCTTAAAATATAAGCTTCACCTAGATTAGGTGAAACCGAATGAATTCTCACCATGCACTTTCTTACTTTCCGTGGCTTCCAATCCTATCACCACATTGCAAACAAACTTTGTAGAAATTCAAATACGTAAGTTTCCGTGCATCAGCATAACTGCATTACACTCCATCCAAGTTGTGACATTGAAGAAGCAACAGAAGGTTTGTCCAGAACATCGTCAATATCATCGTCTTCCCCATATATAATTTGTTGTTGACAAGGAAGATGAAAAGGCAGTCTAACCACAGAAGGATAGTTGTAATGAACATCATATTTAAAAATTCGCCATGATGCTTCACATGCAGATAAATATCTACAGTCGTAGTACTCATTATTTCATCAACCGCATCATTAGTATCACACCGTTTTGTTTCGACAATGCCAACTGTAGCTCTATCAGGTCCTTTGTTTATGTATTTAAATAAATACTTTATAGAAGAACCCTGATTGCACCATTCAACATTAATATGTGTTTGATATCTTTTCAATAGATATTTGTTGTAAGGGACAACATTTCTATTATCCAACTTTACGCCCGATTTTTCAACAAAATGACCATCGTTTCTTCTCCTATATAATGGAAAACCATTCTGATCACAGACGTATGATTACATAATTGCTTTGGAAATTTTTCGAGCACTTTGTCGACCAACAAGGACAATTGATATTTTCAGTGCCACTGGACCATGAATCATGAACTCATTCACAGAGAATACAATTCTGGATCTTCATCTATGTTGGTATCTCAGCAGAATTATCGGATCGATAAATTCACAGTGGGTAGCTTGTAGTCAGAATGCATAAATAGACATATATGACTATGGGGCAAACCTCTCTTTTGAAATTCAATTGTATAAACAACTGCATAATACTTTGCACAAAAATCAAATATTATTATACCATAATGAAAAATATAAAAATTATATAATAAATAGCATAAACTTTTATCAATTATCAAGAAACATTATTTCAAATACCTGCTTGAATTATGCCAAAAATGTGATTCTCCCTTAAGTCTTTAATAAATGCATCAAGTTTGATCTTGACAACTACATAGTATATCAGGTCTGTCTTCTGGTTGAAGTGATATCTTTAAGAAACCTTTTAACCTCTGGCCATTTGGGATTACACGTAAAGGTTATGAAGAAATCAGGATATCCAAACCATTTACATAACGACATGACATCCAAATAGTTCTTGAGCATATAGCGCGCACCACCAGTAAAAGATGAAGGTAATATCACACGTTGGCCGACGTTGGAGATATATGTAGTTCCTTGAGCTTTTTGGTTACGTAAATTCTCATATGACTCGCATCTAAGAACATGTTTTGCCTACGTATGTAATACAATCTCTCACTTTCAATCATGGTATACATCTACCAAAAATTGTTGAAACAACCTTTTTGAATTAAGAATAAGTGAGAACGAATGATCCCTGTCTTGAATTCTAAAAGCGAAAAATTCTCTCATTGTACATTTTGCACGCTTGCTGTTTGTTGTAGATGTAACAACTCTATGAAGAATATCAACGCGGTAACCATCATCTCCATATGGAAATAGTAGTGGATATTGGAGAGGAAGGTAAGAAGGATGCAATTCACTGATACGTTGTAGAAATCCCGATTTAGTTTCAACAACGATATCTCTATTTTCAACTGAATCATAAATGTCACCTATAATTAAAGCGACAACCTCAGAAGCAGTAGGTAGGTTATATGTCCTTCCATCTCGATCTCTTCTGCCGATGATTTTTAACTTCATATCAACTTGAGGATATTTTTTACAAGTATCTCTTACCATCCTATAAGAGCTAACCAATACATTATTTGAATCTAACATCAACTTCAAATCTTCAATAATCTATATCGATTGATGTAGATTGATGTTTTTCCCACTATAAAATTGAAAATATACATAATTTAGTAAAAAAAGATCGAAATTAACTATGATAAGAAGGTTGAAAATATACCCAAACATCTCTGCCGATTTGAATTTTCGTTGTCCGTATCATAAATGTATAACTGAGATAATTTTGGTTGCGATCCATCTGGTGGTAAAATGCTTCCAATACTATGATAATTTTGACCACCAAGTCTGAAAATGTATAGAGCATTTCCTCTATTGATTGAAGAATCAATTTTACCACCCATCGACGTAAAAGAAAACATTGAATTGTAACGTCGAATGTTTTTCATAAAGTTTTTGCTTTTAGAATCCGTTCCTCGAAACATTATTTCATAAGTTGGTGGTACGTTCTTTAAATATGGAAGTTGAACCTTGTCATAACCACAACATAATGAATAATCTGTGTTTCCGTTTCTTTTCCTCTAATGGATTCATTTTTCCATAATTTTGCATGACATGTTTGACATACCACAATTTGATCACCATGATCCATATATTCTGTAATAATAAAGATGTATAAGTAAAAATTGAATTTCATAAACAGTTATAATACAATTATTTGAGTTGTAGAATAAAGAAAATGGGTATATATATGGATTACCTTTGGAAATACCAATTATTTGTTTTTTACATAATGACTTTGCATGCATTTCCCTACATCTGCTGTCAAATCAATAAATGGAATAGGAGATAAATTTTCCAACTTCCTTTTTAATTTATGACATCCTGGATTTAACTTGATTGACGATGAAGAAGCAGTTATTGTAGATGCATTTCTCGAGGTCATACCATTACAAAGTCCAGATATGTCTATTATTTTGTAATGTTGAAGTTGTGGTTATTGATACTACTATTGGCTGAAAAAAAATAGTAAAATTATTACCATTTGAAATGTTAGAAAGTGGTTGAAAGATAATTTGAAAAGCAAAATTATTACCATTTGAAATGTTAGATAATGGAGTTCTAACATTATATATGAAGAAGATGATTTGAGGGGGTGTATTTTGGTTTCCACGGGATTATAGGAAAGGGCATTTTCTTTTTCACGAACAACGTTTTTTGATTGATCTGTAAAAAACAATTGTTAAAAAAATGAAGACGTGTATTATAAAATTAAATTAGCATGTAATTTTTATATTAGATTAGTACATTGAATAATAAAAATGATGATAATGTATGTATTTTTTTTATATAGATATATGAATGGTGAAAATTAAAAAATAAAATAAGAAAATTACAAATATCTGTGTGTGTTAAGACATGTGTTCCACATCGATTTTGAACACTGGATTTTGTATTCTTTTTCTTCGACCTCTTGTTATCCAAATATAATTTTCTCTGTCTTCTTTTCTCTTTTGCTTGCAAGTAGTACATAAAATCATTTGTTCCTGTATAACGAATAAAAAGTATATGATATAAATGTATAGGAGTGTAAACAATTGGTGTTTGATATAAACTGAATATAATAAATGATTGGAATTTGGTTTAAAATTAAATTTTTTCATATTAATATATAATAAATAATAATAAGTGAAGAAAGAAATGTACATTTGTAACCGTTGTTAATAAATGTTGCAGATGATGAATCTTCTTGGTCGATGAAGTAGGCAATTTTTTTGGTTTTTCTTATTATGTTAATAAAGATTATGTTAGAATAATACATGTTTTGTTTATTAGGAAATTGCTTCAGGTGGATAATATTTTATTTAAATATGGATTTAACTATCTTTTTAAAATATATAGAATGTATAAAACATTGTAATTATATATATGAAATAAATTTAGTGTGACATTTTTGTGTTATTAAAAGATATATTTAGAGCTTAAAAAATGTGTAACAAAAATATAAAAAAAAATGTTAAAGAACAAACATACCGTTGTAAGGTGTATCAAGTGCATTTGTAGCTGTTGAAATTTGTCGGCTTGATGTAGTAGACAAATTAATGTTATTTCTATTATCTAAATAAAAAACTATTTTAATTTTCTACTCTTTTTAGAATTAAACGACTTCAGTGATATATCTGGAATCTGAAGAAATAAACAATAATTAATTTATAAGATAATATGATAAACAGTAAAGAGTATGATTAAATTAAAGCAAAATAAAGTATAACTAATATTATGAAAATATTGACATATAATTGCAATTTGTTTTATCATATTCTTTAAGGGGTCTATTTTTGAAATATGATTGCATTATATATTTTATATTTTTTTATGTACCCTAATATAAAAAGTAAATTTATTGTATATTTATATAACATTTATAAAATAAAATGTGAACAAATACTATTTATATTAAAAAACATATGAGTAAACAAAATGTACATAAACTTTTGTTAATGATTCACAAGTTAATATAGAAGTTAGTTGTCATTTATTATTAAACAGGGACCATTTACGCATATTTACTTAAACATGGAGCATAAATTGGAATTTTCCTTACTTAAAAGATAAAACAAACGTTTAGGTTAGTCTGAAACACAAAGATGCATTACATTCGGACTTGTATGTATAGATAGAAACGAAGAACGAAAACAAATAGTTGGGTTAAAACTTATTCGTTTGTTGTGTCGATCTTTTAAACTTACAAGGTTAAAGATGTGTTAAGGTAAGAAAAATGGGGACCGGAGGCGAAGGTGTATTACAAATCGACTTCAATATTAACTGGAAATTTCAATTTTTCATAAATAAAGATTTGCTTACCTGTAATCGTCAACTGGAGAGGACAACATGAATCAAGAACGAAAAAACGCAGCTACTATTGGCAAAGCAAAGACGATCCAGAGGAAATGAATTAAAATAAGGTTAGGATTTATAATCTTTTAATTCAGGTTTGAAGAACTTTTGATTTGAAATTGTGTGGAGGGAACGATAATTTGTTTTGAAATTTTGAAACTATTAAAACAAATTGTTGCTAATCATCCATGAATATCGGTGAAAATAATAAAAGTCTTCTATTAATCTTTTGTAAAACGACATTAATTGTCCAGAATATGAAATTACAAAAATCCAAGAACAGATTACAGTGCATCAATAGTCAAATTCCACAATTAATTGATTTAAGAGTATCTTAATAGTGGGGTGGGCATTTTAGGCATTTTAAAATCTTAAAGATCAAATATTTGGTTAAGTTTTTCTAGATTCTGAAGTTATATATAATTAATATTATGTAATCCATATCATTATATATTATGTTTAATTCCAACAGTTCATGAGATCAGCACCACAAAACAATATATGAGATCTTTATTGGTGATATAATATCCATAGTTACCAAGATACTATGCTCCAAAAATGATAAACCTGGAAAGTTACATGAGCATTAACATAAAATATATAAACACATCATATATTTCATTAAACAAACTATAAGTTTCAAAGTTTTTACAAACTATGATGTTCTATTACACCCAATATACAAAATATAATTACTAATTGTCTTAACCATGAAATATGTAACTTCATCAAAAAAAAAAGAGATAACAGTTACATACACTAAGTTTTCCATGCAATAAATTCTCTTTAGCCATGTCCATTCATCTTCCATTTTCCTCTGGGAATGGTCATGTTTAGCATATGCTTGATGTATGTTATTCCATCATCAACTGTTGACATTGGGTGTTCTATTACAAAGAGATGAATAAGCTTCTGAACTCTTTTCGCTGGTGAGTTCATCATGAAGTGGGGAAAAATTGTTGGCACATATATTGGCTTGTGTTCCACATACAGATGTTCAATCTCACGGAATTGATGTGCCCTAACCATTGCTTTGAAATTTCCCAAAGCATCATCATCCAAATTTGAGTCATTGACAAACCAGAATGTTGTTCAGTTGGCATATGATATCAGTATCCCATAGTTGTATAACCCAAACTTTTAGAAAAACTACCAAGCAAATCCATGTCAAGCAAATCGATGTGTACAAAAGTAATAAAGTGAACTTTTGTTTTTCATATGCTTTACCTAGATAATCAGTAAAATATCCGCCACGGACAACTCTAATGGTGAACCTCTTGTCGTTTCCTTTGCCATACTCTATAATCGGTGTGTGTTTTGTGTAAGGGTTGATGTCTTGTAAAGAGTCGAATTGTGTTTAGTCTATTTCGTATGTAATGTATTTACTAAGTCTCTTTTGTACGAAGCGTAATGGTTCCAGACTTAGTATTTTTGTACTCTCATGTTTCCTATAAATAGGGACTGAGCTTTGGTTTAGATCACGAGTTTTCCAGATTTCGTAGTCTACTTTTGTAATCAAGCTTATTGAGAGTAATTGAAACTTAAAAGTCTTATTTACTTTCTGAGTTCATTACATTGATTGATCTTGTTCTTAATCGATTTCTCATATACAATTCAACTACAATTGGTATCAGAGCAGGAATCAAGCTGCATTGATCTGATTTTCTTTCTAAATCATCTGATTTTGAGTCATTTTTTTTGTCTCAAAAGTTTCCGCACTTTTGGTTCTGAAAATCACATCTGATCTACAGATTTGATTAGATCCTGAATTCAAATTGTATAATCGAGTGATCAATTATAAGTTTCTGATCAATTCGTTTGATCAAATATCAAATTCATCAAGTTTTCTGTGATTTCTGATTTTTTTTTTCTCGTGTGTTCATCAATGGCGAACTTCAACATGAACACAATGACTTCTTATTCTCATCTGCTCGGATTATCAACCAAAATTCCAATGTTGATTCCAGAATACTATGATCAGTGGGCTGATCGTATGGAAGATTACTTGAATGGTCTGGATGAAGAGTTGTGGAATTGCATCAATGGAACAGTTCAACCTCCACCGAATGTTCAAACTATTGGTTCATCTGGAACTACTTCTGCTGTTGGAGAACAAC